TTTTCATTTCTTTTAAAAAGTAAACTTATCTCCGTCCAGAAGAATCAGGAGAAGACATGTAGTATCGGCTAAAACCCAATTAGAAAGCCAACATTCGTGTCTCCATTTTCACAGCAAATCGCAACCCCAGAGTTTTCAAATTAAAAGCGGGTCAACAGCCTTCTCCAGAGGTTCTGGTTTAGGTATCATAAACTGCCATAGTGGTGTAGACGTAAGGCGTAAATGTATCTGAAAATTCAAAATCTGCGTTTTAAAATGAAAACATATTAGCGTAGATCTTGCCATAAGTAAAAAAGGCTCTAATAACTCACTGTTTTCTGTCTGCCAAGCATCAAACAGTAACAATAATATCAACTATTTTTATATAAAGTGATTATTGTTATTATTTCCCCCTCTTTTCAGTCTTTATGCAACGCTAAGCTAACCGATTGCTATAGATTCATATTTCAGACAGACATGAGGGTGGTATAAATCTAATCCTCTGCCAGTAAAAAGAAATACATGTGTTTCCCTTAATAACATGTAAAATCCATCCATTCGTCCTCCAACAGCCTGAGAGTTTCTTTGCTGCCGTATTTCATCACCGATTTGTGGATCAAGTGGAATTCAAAAGCGGCTCCTCTGAATTGGCCTCCCGCTGGTTTTCTCTGCTTCTAGCTAGTTAATTTGCCTTCACCAGATGTGAAACATTCCCCGATCAGATGGCTAGAACTGCAAAACAGCGAGGATCCGGGTCCAGATGACCAGGGTCAACACACCCTGCGAGCTGCGAGCACATGTGAAGCAAGAGTTAACCCTCGCGTTGGGCCGAGCTGCCGCCGAGACGACGGCTCTGCAGAAAAAAGTGTCCTTTCTGGTTTCACTCATGACTGTGTGAGCGCGCCCACGGCAGTGCATTATGGGCTTTGTAGCGCTGGATGGGTCCTGATGCTGCTGCAGGGAGACGCAACATCAGTGTCGCTCCATAATATCAGTCGCTGCGCTCAGACTGAGGCTGACGGAGTCCTGCAGAGGACTGAGCACGTCATCAGTCTGATCAAAAAGACACCAAAGAACAACAGGACAAGAAAACAAAGCATGGATTAAAAACATCAGTGGCGTCTAGTTGTGGCTCTGTTGTATATAACAGACTGCTGCCCTGAGATAATCCACAGATTAGCAGATTAACCAGAAAATCCACATCCTATTCTGTCATTTAGTCAGCTGGTAAAAAATAAATGTCAAATTCTCTCCAAGACCCTTAAATATAAGCATTTTCTGCACTTCTTGTTCCCATTTTAACATGAGCTGAACGTCTTTAGGTTGTGGGCTGCAGGATGGACAGAACAAGTGACTTGCAATTGGCTTTTTTTTTTTTTTTTAGTTTGACATTTTCATAAATCTGCTTATTTGCTTTCTTGCCCCGAGTTAGATGAAGAGATTGATACAGTCTCACGTAAATCTGAAACTACATCCAGCGATCCAGTTAGTCTCCCTCAGAATAAACACTTGAAACGAGACGGTATATTTGTAGTTTCTCAGCCTTAATATTTGTCAATCTGTGGAAGCAGCATTCTATAATTTTACAGGAGGACTTATTTGCTGGACTTTTGGGGAGACATTGTTACATAACAGCATGTCAAAACGGCAGCTTGCTGCTTTTATACTTGAAAACTTGTGGGAAAGTGACAAGTGTGGATGAAATAAATACGTTGTTTACAGTATATATTATTTAGTCTATGTGTTAAGCTATGCTAACCAGCTGCAAGTATCAGCCTCATACTCATTTCTCTCTCTGGTCATTGATTAAACCCTTTAAAACGTCCTCTAGAATGTTCACATCTAAGAAGTCTGCATCTCTTTTAGTTTTGCAATTTTACTATTTTACAGATTTCCCTGTTTTGTTAAATTACAGATAATATTTAGCAAAATCACAGAAAAAAAGTATTAATTTACACATTAGCCTTTAAAAGCAGACCAGAGCTATAAAGAACCTCCACAATAAAAGTCTGTATTTTTTTGCAAATACTAATTTGTTCTTTTACAACATTTGACTGTAAAATTAAATTGTTTTCACAGTTTTCAAATCAGCACAATTATATATTATTTTACAGATATTTGAAAGAGCAATTATGTATATTAGGGATTTGAAGATCGCTAACATAAAACAAAAGTTACAGATTTTCTCTGTTTTCTTAAACTACAGAAAACATCGAGTAAAATCAAAGAAAAAATATTAATTTACATGTTGGCTGTAAAACAAACAAACAAAAAAACTAAAACTGTAAATAATACATCCGAAATCTTTTTTTTTTTAACAAATAGTTGTTTTTAGAATAAAAGACCTTTTGAAAACAATTTCGTGTATTTCACCATTTTTTTAAAATAGATTTTTATTTTTTTTTGGCCTGCCTTGATAACAGCTTTTTTTTTTTTTCTTTTACTGTCTTTGTTTTGTTTTGTTTAGTGTAGTTATTTTTTCTGATTTCTTTTACAGTGTAGGATTGGGGGGGAAAAATTAAAATTAGTTTTCAGAAAACATATATATGTCTTTAATTAAACTTTCAAGAAAATTACATTTTCTCAGTTTAAATAAATTAATTAAAGTCATTTTTGGTCCCAAAGTGAATAAGTTGCAGCATCTGTCCCTTGACTCTACGTTTCTGGGAGATTCTGTGTAAACATGTCTTTACTCTCCCACACAAAAGCAAAGAACACACACACACTTCAGGGTCAAGGAGTGATGGAAATTAGTTTACTGTATCATTTCCCATGATGCCTCTGGGTTAGTGAGCAGCATGCGAAGTGAAATCCCACACCAGTTGCTACTTATAGCTCTGAAAGGGATACCCAGCGAGCCCTGAGAACGCCTGTCTGCACAGCGGTGTAGAGTGGCTTCGTAGCTCGGTAACCTCAGCCACATTGTTCCTCCGGTGGACCTCCACAAGTACACAAGCACTTTACAAATACACAGACAAAAGCAAAACACACAGGGAGACGAGGCAGTTCTGAAGAAAACATTCTGTTATTACCAGCTGAAACCAGGATATCTGTTTACATGTTCAAGTTAACAAATGTCATCTTTGGGGATCCAGAGCCTTGTTTGTGTCTTTGGGAAAGTTTAGCTTAAGATTTTTACAACTTCCTGGCATGAATCAGCAGAGAGTCCAGAGGCTTTTTTCTTTTAACTTTGGTTCCTGAATCCATATTGACAAGTTTTATTACAGCTGCATAGTTTTATTACACACAGCCGGTCAGTTACATCTTTGGCACTGTGTTGCTCTTTTATTGTAAAATTTTACACAGTTGAAGTGATTCACTGTCTGACTGATAGACCAGTGAGTCTGTTCTGTGCGTGTTGTTCACCGGGTCAAATGTGATTTTAACTCTCGGAGCCGTGTGGATAGTCAGGATGCTTTACGTTCTCTCGGGACCACTAGTGGATTTTCCTGTTTTCAGTCAGTAAATCCGGGTTTTCTTCACCATTTAAAGGCTGTTAGTGCTTTGTTTTTTTTTTGTTTGTTTCTTTACTTCTTCCTGCAAATACGAGTGAGTAAAGAGCCAAGGTTTTCTTCTCATTCCATCTGCTATTTTGATTTGTTTTCTTTTAACTCTGTCAACTGCGTTTCATGATCACACATTGAATTAACACGCCCATACGCACCGTCCTGCTCGTTATCTTGCCCGAAGGCGAGAGATAAAGATTGATGATGTGATTGCACGTGGCCCTGGTTATCATCTTTTCCCGTTTGCCAGCAGAGAGGAGGCGACAGGGCAAATTCCAGCCCTTCAGACGACTGTTTGGGAAGAAGAAGAAAAGGGAGGCGAAGGGGGGCTTTGATGGAGCGGAGCTAAAGGCGAGTTTTTCTACTGGGGAAGTGTGCAATGGAGTCGTGTCTGACGATGAGGAGTCTGATCAGAATCTGAGGTCAGTATTTGGACACTTGCATGCGCTGTAGATGATAAAACTGAGCTTTTTACTGCTCCTTTTATTATTAAGGATGATTACAGATACAGATGTAGATATCTTGTCGACTGTATGCAAACACTGAAGGTGGACATGTTTCTGTAAATGCTGCAAGTTGTGGTTACAGAGTCTGTAGTAAAAAAAAAAAGGGTGAGTCTCTGCTCAAAAACAGCTTGAACAGTAAAAGGTTTCACTCCACGCGAGCCTTTATTTGATGTGATGGTGCGTAAAAGAGGTCACTCATGTCATTGTGTTAAAAATGGTTTGCGGAGCGACGCAGCAGTCGGCTCATGATAAATGAATGACTGACATTCTGCAGCACTCAGGACGCCTGTTTCTCCTGCAGGGACTTGAATCCCATTGGATCTCGAGCTCTGTCCCACGACAGCATCTTCATCCCAGAGGAGCCGGTGAAGGAGTCCGGTCCAAACCACAGCATGTCGCAGGAAAACGTGTCGGATAAAGTTAGGAATCTGCAGGTGGGCCTTACAGAGACATACACTCAGTTGCTGAACATTTCTCTTCACTATTATAATGTTTTCTTTTTGTCGTTGATTACACAGAGGCAGATAGCACAAGGTATAAAGTTTGGCCAGAGGCCTCCGTCTCTGAGGAGGAGTGAGGGAGATGAGGGCAGCTCGGATGAGGAAGAGGTTCCCCGAAGCCCTCTGAAGGTTTTGGCCCAAGTCGAAGCCGAGCCACCAAAAACAGAGCCAAAGGTAACAGCTATTGACTTATTGTGATTGGTTTCACTTACAAAGGGCCCACATGATGCTGTTGGGTTTCACTTTTAATGTGTAACAAAGTCCATGCCAGAAAACCCTGAATTCTGTTTGAAGTCCGTCTTTTCTTCTGTTGCTTATCTACATCACTGTGTAACACATTTGCATATTGGCTGCCCTAACGTTTGGCCCTCTAACAAAGAAAAAGCAGCCTACTCACCGTCTGCCATAATTCCCGCCCAAAAACCACCACTGTTACTGTTCCATCCCCATATTCAGAGATGTGAGTTTACAGTCCATAACCAGCATTTCCTCCCTTTCAGTGGCCAGCTGACCAATCAGAGCATATCAGGCTTTATAGAAGGGGTTCCTTAAAGAGACAGGAAGTACATGAGAGTGTTTCAGACACACTGTGAGAAGGGCTGCTGCAGCGATGAGGAAAATAATCTTTTTATTTAAAATCTGAGGGTGTTGAATAACCTGAACCCTGCATCTCTGCTAGAGGCTACCAGCTGGAGGCTACATAGACGTAGCATCTAGTAGCCATGGTATGTGAGCGGAGTGGAAAGATGAAAGCTCAAACCTGTTTGCTTCATCGCTCTTGTGTATAACCCCCCTCAGCTCCACCTATGTGCCCTGCTACGAGCAACTACTAGCAGCTTGTAGCCTAATTAGATTCTTCTTAACTTTTGAGGATCTACACAGGGTGTCCATGCTTTTATTTTCTCCTGTCTAGATCTCTGTCTACATAGATATTACCCAGAACCCTCTTCATCGCCTTCAATTAGTTCAAAATCCTGCTGCCAGGAATATCACCGGTTTAATAAATGAGGATTATATATCTCCCATACTGGCTCCCTGTGCATTTTTGCATTGATGTAAGGCTTTTAAAGCTTATGTAATCAAGTCTCTACTTATATTAAGGATCTACTGACTCTGATCAAGCCTGGGCGTCATCTTGGGTCAGCAAAAAGTGTTTTTCTGGTTGCTCCTTCAGCCTGATTAATGACTAAGGGCTATTGTGCTTTTGTGCTTTTTGCAGTCTGAGCCCCTAAAGTCTGGAGTGACTCACATGCAAAGATTAGATTTACTAAGTCAACTGTTTTTAAATGTCTTCTTAAAACATTATTTTTTCAGGAAAGCTTTCATATCTGTGTGAACTTTTTTTTGTTTTAACATTTCTGATTTATTATGGTTTTACTGCAGTTTTATGCTTGTCATGTGTCTTGTGAAGCACTTTGAAACATTGTTAAGGAAGTAGTAGTAGTAGTAGTAGTAGTAGTAGTAGTAATAGTGGTAGTAGTGTTGTCCTTATAGCACACCCAAACGGCAAACAGAACGTGTTGGCTGTTGAGTTCTACTATGTGTAGTGTTGGCAGGTTTTTACCTTTCTGAGTCCAAAAATATTTGATGTTATATTGCTGCAGAACCTTTTAAAACTGACACTGAGGGCCATTGTTCATTAGATTTAAATAAACGCTCTGTCATTGTGGTCAAAGCAGGGGGCTCAGCCATCCGGACCACACAGTACCCCGGTGAAGTCGCCGAGGTCCAAACGAGTTCTTCCACCGACCGGTACAATCGAGTCCATCAACCTGGATGCCGTCCCGCAGTCCGTTCCTCGCTTAGACAACACCGCCGCCAAGCATAAACTCTCCGTCAAACCGAAGAACCAGAGGATTTCCCGCAAACATCGACGCTTCACACAGGTGAGCCAGAGTTGTTAGCATGTTGGTGATTTATTTTTGTCACATTTCTTTCTTTTTGTCGTTAAAAAAAAATAGACATTAACTGTACTTCTGTGTTCCAGGACCTCCAAGATGTTTCTATTCCTGGTGTGGTGCAGGAGGACATGGAGGCAGCAGGCGTCTCCACAGTCGACCATCGCAGAGCTTCTGTTGAGTCCCTGGAAAGCTTCAAGAAACAGAGACTCCATGAGGAGGAAAGACAGGAGGCGAGGAGGAGAGAGCTGGAGGAGCAGAGGCTCAGACTGGAGGAAGAGGAGAGGAGGAGGAGAGCAGAGGAGCTGAGGCTTCGTGAACTGGAGGAGGAGAGATGTCGCAGGCAACAGCAGGAAGAGGAGGAGAGGAGGAGGAGGGAGGAGGAGGAGAGGAGGATCAGAGAAGAAGAAGAAAGGAGGCAGCGAGAGGAGGAAGAACGAATCAGGAGGGCGGAGGAGGAAAGAAGGATGCGAGAGGAGGAGGAGCGTCGGCAGCGAGAGGAGGAGGAGGAGAGAAGGAAACGACTGGAGGAGCAGAGGAGGAAAGAGGAAGAGGAGAGGAGGCGAGAGGAGGAGGAAAGGAGGAAAAAGGAGGAGGAGGCGAAGAGGCAACAGGAGCTCGAGGCCGAGAGAAAGAGGAAGCTAAAAGAGGAGGAAGAGGAAAGAAGGAAGGAGGAAGCAGAGAGACTGAAGTTGTGGGAGATGGAGGAAAAGAAAAAACTGGAAGCAGAGGAGAGAATGAGAAAAGAGGAGGAGGAGGAGCAGAGGAGGATGTCATTAGAGGAGACTGATGGAAGTTCTGACCCGCAGGAGAGGAAGAGGAGGGCTGAGGAGCTGCGCTGGAAAGAGATGGAGGAGAGACAGAGGCCTTTCTCTTTCAAAGTTTCCTCTGGCGAGAAACAGATTCTGTTCCAGAAGGTCAACCTGACACCTGTTACGCCGGCGTCCAGCCACCAGAGCGCTGCTGTCGCTGATCAAAGAGAAGGAGCTAAGGCTTCCTCCTCTGAAGCACCAGACTCCCCAAACCTGCCAACGTCTCCATATGTCCCCCACACAGCTATCTTAGTGACGGGCGCCCAACTCTGCGGGACAGCTGTCAATCTAGACCAGATCAAAGACACTGCATGCAAATCCCTGCTGGGTTTGGGAGAGGATAGAAAGGCCCAGGGAACACCGCCGACGAAGAGCAAGACCTCTCCCGACCGCAAATCTGGAAAAACCAAATCGCTCAACGAGTCAGCCCTCTCCACTGACCAGTCCAGTGCAGCCGTCCTGGCAGAATGGGCAAGCATCAGATCAAAGATATTCAAGGGGGTGGAGGAGGGGAAGTATGACGAGTACCCAGAACCGAGCAGGAACCAGCCTCAGCCCAGCCCCGAAGAACAGCCTGCGTTTGCTCACACGAACCTCAGGAAGACCATGTCTGCCAGCGCCAAGTTCTCCATCACCCCCGCAAAGAAGAAGTTTGGAGATTCAAACAGGAACTCTGAGGTGTTTGTTCCAGATGACAAGGAAGCAGGAGAGGAAACGACTCCATCTGAAAGCCCCACCCCACCATCTCCAGCTCCAAGCAGTAAACCTCAGACCAGGACAATTAAAACTGTACGCATCGTAGAAAGAGGTTCAGAGGAGTGTATGTTTGCCAAAGATCTCCCCTCTTTCCTGGTTCCCAGCCCCGGAGCCAAACCCGAGGGGGCAGAGTTGAAGAGCAGAGTTCACAGTGAGACGGACGCGTCTGAAAGCAGAGAGGAGGCAGAGGAGCGAGGCCAGGACGGCGAGGATAAACCGTCTCCGTTTGGCATAAAGCTGAGAAGGACCAACTACTCGCTGCGTTTCCACAGCGAACAGTCCACAGAGAAAAGGAAGAAGCGCTACAGTGCCGGGGACAGCTTCGACGGCGTCCCTTCACCTCTCACCCCCATCGAGCCAGACTCTGATGCCTCCTCTGTCTTCTCTGACAAATCCAGTCCCTCGTCGCCTCAGAAAGAGGGCGCGGTCGGCAAGTACTTACAAGCCTCTGCCTCCCCTCGGGGTAAACTGGGTAAGTCAGCCAGCACGACTGCACACGGTGAAAGCGAGAAAGTGATTTCAAAGCCGCCGGTTTACCGAAGACCAACGACGTCACCCAAACCTATTGGTGCAGTCCCAACGCCTCCTCCGTCGCCGCTTCCTAAGGCGGTCCACGGGCCTCCCAGTGACGACATGAGCCAGAGGACGGGAGGCGCAGATTCGCCCAGCCAGGAGCAGCCGAGCAGGAGCGAGGAGCCGTCAGCGGTGGCCCAGCTGCACCGGAGCAGCCAGGGTCAAGCTCATGGGGAGGAGGAGCCGAAAGAGAAGAGATCATTCTTCCCCTCCATTAACATACCCTGGAGAGAGAAGGCGGACAGAAAGACGGAGCTCCTCAAGAGAGGTCAGTCTCTCTTTGACCTGGACCTTGCCGTTAGTTGAAATGAAGTTGAAAGATGTGCATATTTGGTTTCTTGCTGATTGTTAGATGAGACAACCAACACCACTCAAATATGAAACTACAGGCAGCAGCCAGTTAGCTTAGCCTGACAAAAAGGAAGAAGTATAAAAAGAGGTTGCATTAAAGAAACACTTTAACAAATAACTTATGCATCTCTAAACAAGAGACGTCTATGGCTCCATTTATCAGGTACTAACAAACCTCGAGTCATGCAAGTTGGGGGTGAAAATAAATATCCGAGCCTATCCGAGTCAGTGGGAGCTTTTTGGATGAAGGTGAAACATGTTGTTACCCTTCAGACAGTTCTGTTGCTTCTAATCTTTATGCAAAATTAGGCTAACCATCTTCTCAATCCAGCATCTAATTTTAGTGCACAGATATGAAACTGGTATAAATCCTCTTACGTAACTCGTGGAAAAAAAAAACAAATAAGTCCACCTGCACCTGCTTATGCCTTGACAACATTTAATACTTGACAACTCTGGCTTCTTGTGTTAAATGGAAAGCCACATTTCTCACAGTGAGATATCAACACTGACATTTAAGTACTGTATGTGTAGTATTTAAACCACACTAAGACGTAGTAATGTCTCGATGTGCACGTGTTTCCCTGCAGAAAAACCATCACTACAGAGCCGGCACTCGCTGGACAGTGCAAGGGTCCAGGAGAAGGAGGCCGGGCCCTTATGGATCACTCTGGCTCTGCAGAAGCAGAAGGGCTTCAGGGAGCAGCAGCAGAACCGAGAGGACCGTCGCAGCCAAAGAGAGGCCAAACTGGCAGAAAAACAAGCGAGAGACAGAGACAGAGACAGTGTATGTGCCCCAGATCGCCCTCTTTACCCACTTTCTCTTAATCTCTCTAACATATTTTCCCTCCGCTGAAACTGTCATAAATCTCTGCTGCAGGTTACGCTGGTGAGCCCCACAGAGAGCAAAGGAAGCGGCAGCACCAGTCCTTCTTCTAAACCTCAGACACCAGAGGAGCCCAAGAGACCCGACAGCCTCCTGGGACGATTTGACCGCCGAGAACACCTGAAAAAGGCCAACACTTTACCGAGCTCTGTCACCGGTAAGAACCTACGTGTTTACAGTTGTTTTCAGTCGCTTTGGTACATTTCTCAGATCTCTGAAAATTCTCAAAACTACTTGTTCAATCTTCACATCATTGTGTCATTTGTGCACATCAAAAAAGCACTTTCTCATTTCTTTGAACAAGTGATTATGTACAATTCTCTGCTGTTTCCTACATTATCAGTTGCTTATGTCATGTTGATCAAAATGTATTATGTTGGGTCTCTGTTGAATAGTCTCACCTCCACAACATTTAGGCATTAGTTCATCGCATAAGTCTTTGCATGCAAAATGGTTGAACAAGTTGTCATAACATGTGGAGCATATTTCTATACATTTCCATTAGACTTTTTTTCTAAATCTGTCCTGAATTTTTTAATTGCTCCCAGGTGAACCTTAACTTTGTCTAATGAAGGGAAATGTGTCTAACATTACATATATCAACCAGTTTTCTGAAATAGCTCAAAGGTGCATCTTATGAACCATCAACTGGCGAGTTTATATACAGCCAGAGCACAACACTATGTTACAATGTCTGACAATGGAAGGACAAGGGACTGGACGGGGTCAGCAGCCAGAGAGAAGAGGAAGAGGAGTGAGGCTGCATGGCGGAGGAGTGGGGGGGCAGAAGAGGCCGAGGACATATGCACGTTCCTGATGAAATAAGAGCCACACTTGTACACCACGTTCTCAATCATGGACTTACAATGGCCGAGGCTGGTCAAAGAGTGCAGATGTAAATGTTGGAAGAACAACTGTGTCCTCAATTATTCAGACTTTTCACCGACAGAACAGGAATATAATCTGACAATAGGGACTGTACTGTAGTACTGTAATACTGTATACTTTCTGTAATGCTTCATACAATATTACAGTATTCCACTTGGGCCATACAATACAGAGCATCTTGCCACCTTTTTAGAGACTCTCTATATGGATCTCATCCCCGAACGAGAGAGGGGTCAGATTGGAGATGACTTCCCAAAGTATGTGATCATTTGGGACAATGTCAGTTTCCATCACTCCATCATCAGGCAGTGGTTTGCAACCCACAACAGGATCCTGATGGAGTTCCTTCCACTCTACTCCTCATTCCTCAACCCCATTGAGGAATTTTTCTCAGCATAGAGATGGAAAGTATATGATCGCCAGCCACATATACAGATGACCCTTCTGACTGCCAAGGATGCAGATGCCTGCAGAGGCTGGATAAGACACTTTCTGTACTGCAGTGACATGGTCTGTCAACAAACTACAGCACAAACAGTAAAAGCAGAAAGGTGAATCTAGTCCAGTCTCTTGCAATCAGTCTCCCACGTACACTAAAGTGTAACTTACAATAATTGTCATCAAAACTTTATCCATAGTTGACATCAGAACATCCCTCCAGAGTACACTGTTATACTGACAACATGACTAAACAATTTGACTGTCTTATCCGTATGCATTGACACAAGGACTTGTCATTCTGATGGCACTGACATGTTCATTGACGCAGATATTTAGTTTTGAGAGATGAACTAAGGCTGTTGAGCGAGTAACTGCTTTTTGCCGGTAATCCATGGAGTTTTGCTATTCGTACAAAATGTTTTGAGAAATCCACTTACTGTTTTGCAAATGTCGAGAATGATTTGAGAAAAGTACCAAAGCGACTGAGAAAAACTGTCATAGTAAAGCTGACAGGTAACTGTTGATAAGGGTGAGCTGCTTTTCTTTGCTCTCATGTAATTTGAAAATGATTTAATCCTCTGAACCCAAAGCAGATTTTAGGTATATTTTTGCTCACTGTGGGCCAGTTTTTCACAGCAATATGAAGTCCTGCACCTTCATGGAAACAGCACAACCATGGCTGCATGTGTTTTGTGTAGTATGAGACAGTAACAAGACCATAAATCATAAAAAAAAAAAAGAAGAAAAAAAAAGTTTAATATTTTTTTGATTATTTTACAAAAAAATAAAAGGACAAATGGACTTGGCATGTACAAGATTTTTACGGGTGCCCAGAGGTGTACAAAAAAAAAGAAGAAGCTCCACATGCTGTAAAGACACTTTGGACGAGGTCTGTTTATATTTTCGCTCCACTCTGCAACTCTAGACAGATGTTTCACCATGCTGGATGTATCTTCTAACAACTGTATGCAGTTTTTGGGCTATGCTGCATTTCTTTTAAGCATCAAATATGTTTATTTTTCCGCTCAATCTCTCTTGTCGTCTCCGCTTTGTGTTTCTGCATTTCACTCCAAAAATCTCAAAATTCATGACTGTGGGGCGCAATTGGCTTTTTGACCTTGTATTTTTTCGTGATCTATTGGATCTGGCGCAGACGGTTTATTCTTGGTAA